CGCCCTGCTATACGGGAGCGATTCCAATACCCTGGCTACGACCGTCCTACTAAAGCGGGGAGCGATTCCAATAGCCGACCTTGCCACTTAACAAGGTTCTTTTAACGGTTTCTCAACTCCGCGGAGCGAAGCGAGGTGTAGAAGGCTTAAGATGAACTTAAAGCTTTTTAGAGCCAACAAATATCAAAGCTTCAATTTAATGAATCTACACAAAGAGATGTTTTATATCACAAATCTCCGCGCTGATACAGAGGACACCGAGGCCGGTTAATGGCAGGTGCCGTTCGACTACTGTCTGGGCACCTCCGCGGGCAAGGATGAACTGCTGTACTGCGGGTTTTCCGTGGGCTTTTATACTACTTTCTAAATAAATTACAAACAACAGATGTGTAACAGGAAATAAGAGAGACTGAGTAATACTGAGCGAAATAGGAAGAAACGCGCGGCCAAGGCCTCTCTAGTTTGGTGGGTCGGCAGTCGAGAGTCATGTTGAATGACTCCGCGGACCCGTTTTGGGTATATTTGAAATTCCCGCGGAGGAGCCGAACACATTCGTGTCCATGGCCGCCCCGCGGAAGGGTACGTCCTGCGCCGGCATGGTTGATAATCCCAGCCATTGTGTCATCTCCCAGCGAGTAAGCTGGTACGGTATTTGTCCTACTGTGCCGTGTGTACAGCTCAGCTTCGGCCAACGGTGCCTGTCCGATCCCTCGGATCAGCGATCTCTGCAATGCTCTTGTTTGGTCTCCCGCGGGCGCGTCGCGTCCGTCACATGGGTCTATTTCCAGAGTACTGAGTCCGCGGAAACTCTCCGCGGGCTCTCACTCGTCAACTTTGGCAGTCCGCGGGGCCTTCGCCCCTTGGTTTGTCAGGTATCTAGTCAGAGTCCGCTTCCGCGGACTCGACAATATCACTCCGCGGACTGGTCAGTCCAGTGCTTTCGGACACTACTAGTCCACAACTGTTCGTCTTAGGCTTTTAATGTTTAATCTCCTTGGTATGGCATCTAGCCAACAGGGCAAGCCATATCCCGGAAATACAGGAATAACTCTGTCTGTGCACGTATACGCTCCGCGGAGCGCTATGCTGACCCTCAATGGTAAAAGGACCGAGCCTTAGCGCGTCCACGACTGGATACATGCTCTGGCATCATCAATACACAGCTAGCAGCTCGGAGCTCACTCTAACTCTAATTGTATATCACCGGGCAGGGGCCCCGCGGAGTCGTAATACACCGCTAAAAGAACGAATATACGGCTGGTTGTATCCAGGCCGTATCAACGGCACTGCACGTTGCGCAGCAGCGCCTCGATATGGTCCAAACCCGGCACACAACGCGCCCGCTCCTCTGGCGTCAGCGCCGACGGCAGGATGAGGGGCACATCCTCCGCCAGCGTCGTCGCCACCAAGTCCTTCTTTGCCAGCGCTTGGAAGGCGGCCGGCATGTATACCTTCTGCAATTTTCGGAAGCGTACGATAGAGCAGTTGAGGCTCCCACGCAGGCGCTTCATGCTGATCTTCATCGCAGTCGTCCCCTTCTTCTTCAGCTCTGCGTGAACGCGCACCCGCCGCCTGTCAAAGCCCGTCAGCTGCCGCCGTCCTCCAGATCGCAGCCGTCGACGTACTGCTCTCCTTCCAAATCCAATCCCGCCGCGATGAACGTGCTTGGGCTCACGTCGTGCAGGGATGGCACGCTGCGCGCAGCCTCTCCCGCTTCCTCCTCGGCAAACTGCAGTCGAACCTGAGCCTCCATCAGCCCTAGTAACGACGTCAGCGACATCATCCAGGCCCCGCAAGGACCCACGCACCAACAATAGTAATGTCGTACGGGTTTTTTTTTGGTTTCGTCCATCTCGTAGTCGAGTACCATCCGCTTCCAAACCGGGACGCGCTCGGCCTGCTGCTCAGAGAACACTTCGAAAGCCTCCGTCTGCTCCTTCAGCTCCGCGTTGGCACGATCCAACCAGCGCCGTAGGGAATCCACTGCAAAGTCGCTGTCAGTACCAGCTAACCTCCGCTTCGGAACAGACGTACCAATCCCGATGAGCTTGAGCCAATTCCAGTAGTGGAGCTGGCACTCCAGCACATCGTGCCGCGACCCCGGCCCCATGTCACGCGTACTGGCTGCGACACCTCCCAGAGTCCCCCATGCGCGCTCAATCCCCTCTCCATCCGTCTCCGCCGCGCCGATGAGGTAGTTGAGGGAAAAAAGTAGCTGGCAGACCAAGGTATGCGCATGAATGTGCATCTTGGGAATCGCGAAGCGCATTAGGGTCGACACGATGGCGATTCGGACGTTGGGCGGCAGCACCTTGAGCCGTTCGAAGAGGTGCTTGCTCCATATGCAGACGATGTCGTATGAGATGAGCTTGAAGAGAAGTTCGTGCTTGTGCTTGAGGATGCTGGCAAAAATATAGTCGATATTGGCAAACCTGCCCACCATGTCCATCAGATGCGCCCGAACCGATGAGAAATGTACGTACCGCTCCCCTCTTTGAAGGTCTCCAACGCCGTTCGGCTGCACAAATTCGTGCCGAGCACAAACGCCCATCCCTACGCCGGTCGTGCTGTATCCACGCGAGAACTTCGTGTTCGCGTAGTCGAGTGCAGCCAGCCCGCTGCACGTATTCATCTGCGCGTGCCAAGTCAGTATATGAAGCGGCCCACTGTGCGCCGGGCTACTCGCCTCCTTCTGGTCAGTTACGGTTCGCAAATATTCACGGTAAGGACCGGTGTCGACGAGATATCCCCAGCCTGAGCCAAGATCCGGGTCCCTCAGCTCGCTCGAGACCAGGAGCCGCTTCAGATGGAAGCACGCGTCGAGCGCGATAAAGAGAGTATACAAAAATCTATACTTCGTCAGTACTCAGACTCCGGAGACCGTGTAACACGTACCGCTCTCCCGGCGTAGCCTTCTCCCAACCCTCTGGAAGGTTTACGCCCGGCCGCGGGCAAGCGGGGCACTCCAACACCAACTCACCCTGCTTCGTCGCCTCCGCTCCCCCAGACGCGTAACTGGTCGCGCGCCCTGCGCGCTTCAGCATCATCGCGTGGCGGAACTTCCGACACATCCGGAGCCACTCATGGTATCGGTCAGGGGGTTTAATGCCGGTGTTGTCCGTCAGCTTCTCGAGTACGCTGTAAAAGTCGTACATTGTCATCTTCGACTGAAGCGTCTCCTGCTGGAATTTGGACAGGACGTCGAGCGTAGCGCAGGTCTGCGGTCGGTCATCCGTAGCTGGAAACCACCCATAGCGCAGTAGCTGCACATCTGGCGATCCCGCAGCGCACTGCCGCTCGCAGCCACAGAAATCCAATTTGACTTTGTGGATGCCGTTCGTGTGGAGGGTGACGAAGCCGATGTTAGCTGCCTCGGCGCCCGGGCAGCGTTCGCCGGGGCGATGGCCCAGCTGAACACGTAAACCTAGGGCTGCAAGGGAAGTCTTCACGAATGAACGACCGCACCACCTCTATCCGCAGCTCAGCCACGCTATAAAAAAAAACCGGGAAAAACCTACCCAAATCCAGTGCAGCGGGTTCTCCAAATGGCGCGCCACGGTGCACTTCTCACAATACAAAGTCCCCCCGAAGCAGTCTGAGCAGCGGAAGCGGGGGGGGGGTAGTGAGGCGCCGCGACAGCCGGGGCATCTCTCCACGTCCGCGTCGCCCGGGCCATCCCGCCGCGTCAGTTCCACGACGCAGGTATCGCGCTTCATTCGGCGCCATTTGTCCAACGCAGGATCCTACCGGAGCTTTTCAGTCGCCACGCACTCCCCAAAAGAGAAAACTCACCCCCGGCTTCACCACGCGTGGAGCCTTGGGAATCGCGAACACCGGGGCCTCAGCGTCGTCGTCGACGTGCAGCTCATACCGCTCGTCCAACAAGTTCTGCGCACTGTCTTGGTTGAACGAGAGAGGCGCGAGGGCGGATCGCGCAGTCGATGCTGCGACGCGTTGGCGCTTCAGAGGAGAGGGAGGCTCGATCTGGTGCTCATCTCGGTACATCCGTCGGCGATCGTTGGAGGCACGGTCGACGAAATTCGGGACTGGTGCGTATTCAGGGACTACCGGCAAGTTGGCCAACTGAAAAGTGTGCGAATGCACGCTTGCACCATTAGACGCCCCCTCCCGGGTCGTTTGCGCGTTCCGCTTTTTTCGGTCCTTTCGAGCCATGTCGTGTGACAGAGGGGAGTGCTCGCGATCAGGTGTGACTGTGACACATGTGACCCAACGCGAACGCGTTGTCGGCTGCACCTTGGCTGCACCACGCACAGTCCTCAAAGAAAAATGCATCGCACCCATCACCAAATGAGCACTGGGGTAAATAAAAATAAAAACCGCTAAAGCACCAAAAAATCCCAAACTATAAAAATGGAATGGCCTGGGCGGGACTCGAACCCGCATTGTTGCCAATACGCTTGTTTAACCAATTAAGCGACGGGGCCTTTTGCAGAGGCAGACGTCCCCGCCTACAAGCAAGACTTTTCGGGGGATTTTAGAGAGGGATAATAGAGTGTATTAGATTTGGTTTGAAATGGCTTCCATCGGTTAATTTGAACACTTTCTCAAACCAGCAGTGCGCAAGCACCCCTCTACCTCCCCCTAAGCTTCCATTTTTTTCAATGGAATACATCTTCCTAGTTCCAGCGCATCCCTCATGCTTCCCTCGCTTTTTCCGGGCAACTGAAGGCCATGGGAAGCCGCAGATGGACTGGCTTGAATGAGGCTGCCAAAAATAGACCGATGTGGGGCTCTATTCTCAAAAAATACGGAGCACATCTCGTTCAAAAAACACACTCTACTGGAGCCATTTTTTGAAAGAGATAATGTACAAACACTATGAACCTACGACACAGACCCATCAAATGTTTTTCCAGTCATTACGCTCCCGGCCCACTGGTCGTTCACCTCGGAATACACCAATGAGAAATGTCGTACTTACCGAGAGCGCCCAATGACCGTCTACCCCCCCAAAAAAAAAAACTACAAAAAAACATCTACACTCCAAGCCAGAATCGAACTGACCTCCTCTTGGTGAGCTGTGTTCCGTCAATCATAACTCCCAAGTGCTGGACCACTCAGCTATTGGAGCAATATAATATTTCCATCTATTTCTTCACCAGATGGCCTACGAAACAAACGCCCAAAAAAATCCAAAGTTATTCGTACGAGCCCTCAAGTATTCATTCCGTCAAGGCCTCTTGTGGGGAATTTTGGAGGTATAACGTACAAACGCTATGAGCCCAACAAGCAAACTGTTCAAACATTTCGCCAGTCCTGAACCCAATGTCCTTCGTGCGCACGCTCCTCAGCATCTGCCTTCGAGTTTGTGATATATATTCCGGCCCATTGGTCGTTGATCTCGTAATACATGAACTCCGCGTCGGCGCTTCCCATCGCGATCAGAAACCCAGAGCAAGTGTCAGAGGAGCCAAACTTACTCGTCGCAGCAGACCCTCAGCGCCCCTTCCACGACCCACCACAACGGGAGAATCCGGACGTGCTATCCATGCTGGTCCCTCGCGAATGCCTGCTGCAAGCTGGGGCACAGCCGCAAAAACTTGACGATCGCCTCGAAAGTGCGCGCAGAGTAAGTCGGGCGCTCGCTCGGATCCTCGGCCTCCTCCTGCACGCCGTACGCGCGTTTGCTGCTCCCAGTATCAACCCAAGAGTAATTGTTTGTGCACTGCCACCCACGGATTTCTGGTAATCAAGGCCTCACTGGGAATCAAAAACCAAGGCCCGGTCCACTGTTCCTGTTCATCGGGACCGTAGTCTTGCGGGTAGTGTCGGTCGTCGTTCACGTCGTCCGGGGCGTTCATGGCGGGATTCCAGACGGATCTGATGCGCAGCATCAGCCATCAATCAGATTAGCTTGATAATTAATTAGATAAATAAAAGATTAATCCCAATCAGGCAAAAAGATGAAACATCAGAGCAGAGTGCTTCAGGAGGGAATCGAACCCACGCAAGAACCGATTACGTTTCACTGAAAGCAATCTAACGTGCTGGTGTGCTCAACCAATCCAGCGACTGAAGCTACATAACTCCGGTCCCAACAGCGTCTCACATAGGGGAGCAGCGCCCCTGCAACAATGCCCCGCCGCGATCATTCAGCTGTTATAGGTACCTTGATCCCTCGTTTCATTGTCGCCTGCTTGGTTCATCCCCAGCCCGCCCGTCCGAGGGCTCGGCCAGGCTAAAAGCCCTGGCTGAGCCCATATCTCTTTGGCTCACCCAGAATCCCTCGCCCGCCCCTGGTAAGTCCCGCCCTCCCTTGCGCCCCCTCCTTTCCCGCCCTTCGCAAGCCGCCGCTACGTGACTCCGACCCTGGAAATGCGGAGCGGCCTACACCTGCGGCCCGCCCCTCGCCGCCCGCCACTATGCGACTCCGACCCTGGAGATGCAGAATGCAGCGCGGTGGGCACCCATCCCCCGCGACTTCTCTGCAAATCCACCTCCGTTCCCGCAGCCTTCGACTAATCCCGCCCCCTTCAGGTCGCTCCACTCGCTCCGGAACGGAGTTCAGCCCCCTCACCTTCGAGAATGCCGCCCCGTCAGCCCCGCCGGCGCATACTAATTGCTTGGCTCGCGCAGTTCTCTTCATGGGCTTTGCGCCCCTGCTGCACCAATACTACACATCGACCCTCGACTCACTCTGCAGTTGGGATGCAGTGCAACAACGCGCCACGCATCTCGAGCGCAATTTCAAACGCGCCTGCTCAGTTTTTTCCACCGCGACCTTCAACTTTGGGCCTCACGCTCCCCCACATTGACTTCGGCAACCTAGCCTGGGGTTGGTGCGCCATGACCGCGCTCGGCGCCTTCGATCCTGACTGCGGCGGGCACCTTATACTTGGGGATCTGAAGCTGATCATTCGCTTCCCTCCGGCTTCGACAATTCTCCTCCCTTCCGCGATTCTCCGGCACTCCAATACCAAGATCCAGCGCGCCGAGAGGTGGTATTTGTTCACCCAGTTCCACGGGGATCTTTCGCTGGGTGTACAACGGCTTTCGCACTGAGAAGGACGTCAACACGTCGCGTACTACAACACAGGAGGAGCGCGAACGGCGCCGCCATGACCGCCAACATTGGTAGGAGGAAGGGATCAAGATGTATCGTGTTTGGCCCTCGAAGTAGCCACCTAGATTACTGCCCCTTCCTAGTACGCTATCTATGTATTACTGGTTCTCAATTGCTAGCCCTTACTATTATCGGCCCAGCCTTTTTTTTTAAAATATTGAAGGCAATGTTACACCTCCAAATCTCACCGAATATGGCTCGGAACTGACAGGCACTATCTTCGCACCATAGATATGCTAAGTCCCAGGCCGCTTGACATTTGGGGCCCAACTGAAGCCACAATGAGGTTGCCGAGGTAGCCATCAAAATTACATAGCTTTGCAAGAAATGTTTTGTTTTTATTGTGAGCTCAGGTGTCCTCCATCTTCTCTACAATTACGGCGGCTGGACTCCTAGGAAGCAGATCTATGTGTGCCCATTTTATTTCAAGGCAATTGAGACCAAATTGACGTCGAAAAGTCAGTTTACCTTTTCTTTCAAAGTTGGGCCGTTTCAAAGCTGGGCCGATAATAGTATTCCCTGGCGAAGCTGAGCCATCGTGCCGTGCGCTAGCTTGATCGAATGATGCCGAGCAGCTCCTGGGTTGCTGCAAGTGCGATCGCGACAAAGCCGGGTCTCAAGTCCACCCAACTTTGGCCATGCGGCAAAGTTTGGTTTCTAAGTGTGGCTCAAACCCACCCTGGTGGAATGTTGTAGATGGTCCTTGTTTCGCCGCCACTTTTTGGTTCCGAGGCAAAGGGAAGTATCCCCTGGTATTACTACAAACTCGTCCTTGGCGCTATGACGCCTGTGAGGCGCCCTGCGTTGACAATCTCGTGCGCGCCACGAACAGTCCCGATTGGGAAGCACCGCCACCGCCTCTCAGGTTTTGGAAATGTCGGCGCAGTACACCGTCTTGCGCTCCCTGGTGGCTCGTTCGGCGTTCCCCCTCGTCAACATTATCCCCTGGTCGACCCCTGTGCACGGCTACACTGCCGAATGGGAGTCCGTTGACAATGTACCACGAACCGTCCCAATCGGGACAGCACAGCCACCTCATCGTAAGCGGCCGCGACGGCAACTATCTGTGGCCCACCGCGACACTGCTGGGGATCTTGCTCAAAGTCGTGCTCAAAGTCGATCATCGCGGACTCGGATCTCATTCAAGAAAACAATACAAGAATTACAGCATCAGTACATTACACCGCGATGAACTGGGGCGGCGGGCTTGTGGCTACGGCTGGATCCCCCGCCGGCGTGGTTTGGGGTCGGAATCGCGGGCGCGCCTACATCAGCTCTGGTCAGGAGTAGCCCGCGCTGTCGGTCCATGGCGTGTGCCGACTGGCCGCGGATTTGGTCTGCAGGACCCTCGTGGAATCGCGCTAGCAATCGCGTCAGGGGGGCCTCGTTAAACGCTGCACTCGGAGACTCACCTCGCGCGTCGGCGCTTTTCTGAGGCGGAGACGGGTCGGTGCGCCCTGAGCTTTTCGCCAAGCGCGCCAGCAAGAGGGTGTCGGCGTCGGGCCTCGCGTCGAGGATCGCGCGAGCGCGCTTCTCAATCTCCGCTGCGCGACGGCGATGCGTGTTGACGCCAATGCTCGATGGGGCGTGGAAAATAGCGCCGCATGCGCGCGGGGCGTCGGCAGGAATGTGGGGCAGCAGGTGGGCTGGAATGAGGCTGCCGTCGTGCTGTTGGAAGCTCACGAGCAGCGCAGCGCGGTGGGGGACGAAGGTGAAGATGGCGCTGCTGTCGTACACGGGCGGGCATTCCTCTTCCCTCGCAGGAGCTCCACGGGCGAGGCGAGTGCGACGCTCAGCGTGAGAGCGATGGAAATCACGCCAATACGACGCGGAGCGCAAGATTTTAGGCTTGTCGGCGGGCATGGTGGCAGGTCAGGATCACACCTTTGTTTGCGCTCGTCCCGGGATCTAACCTGACGTCTCCCACGTAAAAGGCTCCAGACAACACGGCGAAGACCATGGACTTCCACTCGTACCAGTTCACATTCAGCGTGCAGCCTGAAGGCACCACGGGATATATCTTTTCCTCGAGCGCCACGTCTTCCGTCGGCAGCTTTGGCGCGTTCGCCCTGGCTTCCCCGCTGGGCGCGTCAGGCGCGCACGCACAAGCACAGGCTCGATACAGGGCGAATAATCAAGCAGCAGAGCGGGAGAAGGCTCGGCGCCGGATGCAGGCGCTGCGCCAGGCGCGGCGCGAAGATGTCGCTGAACAGGCGCGGCGGGACGAAGATGCGCACAAAGCTGCGGAAAGTTTTCGTTGCAGGTGCGCACGCGCCGCCCAGGCCTGACATCGAACTGACCGCCTTCGACAGTGAACTGTTTCTGCGCTATAAGCGCCACTTGGCATACCACTGCGGAGAACTCCACGGCAGCCTCGACGATCCAGAGTATCTCGCCGGTTGGGAGCGCTTGCGCTTCCGTGCTCACCCGTTCGACCGTGCCGACGCGCGCTTCTGCCTTCGATACGGGAGACCAGGGCAGCGCGAGGAGCCCACCGCGGCGGATATCGACGCGTGAGTGCCCACTTTATTTCGGGCGGGAACAGCACAGCTTTCTGACAAGAGCCGCGCACCAGGTGCCTCGCCGATTTGCAGGCTGGCCGCATGGGCCTGCTCCTCAAGTACGATCCCTCGGACGTTGAGGTGCAAGCTGCCCTCGCAAGGATCGATGCGGCGGGGGTGGCTCCGCTCGACGACACCGACGTCGAGTTTCTGATGCGACACTCCGTCCCGCCGCCGACGTTGGATGTTTTACGTGTTTGTTCTTGCACGCGCGGCACGGAGATGACAAGATAAACAAGATATATTTTGGGGCGCGGGTATCTACGTGGTAGCTACAAGTCCGCGGGTAATTCATTTTCTTGGCACCTGTAAATGGTCTTGAGCAAGCGCAAGCGGGGGAAGGCGGCATGAGCGAGTGAAGGGACCGACCTGAGGCGCGGCGCGTTCAGTGCCCGCGCTCGCGGAGAACGCGCTTGTGGAAGAAGAAGGCGCGAATTCTCTGCTGAG